GAGTTTGGGATTTTTCTTGTAGCTGTACAGATATACGCATTGTTATGCGTGGACGTTTTTACTTTTGGCGGCGACGAATATAAATGTCCAGCATTTTTCAAACCACTTTTATTTTATTTACAGTCTTTTGGATAATTATTGCATTTCAAGTATACGAAAATCTTGGCAACCAATTGTGAATTTTCGTTTCATAACAAGAATGAAGACTCAACTCAAAGTAGCCTAAAAAGAAGACCCTCTGATTATGTACAAGAAGATTCATTCTTACAACAAGAAGAACTTTTTTAGAATAGTTAAATCTTTTTGTGTTGCAAAAGAATATTACGTTTCAAAATAGATTGTTCCTTCCTACGGAAACCCTTATTTGAGATGACTCTTAAATATAAATTTACCCAATGGTATCCAACGTATTTCTTCAACAACAGCTCATTGGAAATTTAAAAATTGTCCAAAGGTACCATCAATATCTACAATCTTCTGAACTTGTGCTGTAATACATACATTGCGCGCGTATACGCTAATTAGTCCGAAGTCGTCGCGGAATATCACATTAGGAAAGAAGCGGCACAGCGTATAAGGGGAGATAAAACGGCCGACGGGGAGGAAAAGACGCCTACCTACGTACACCTAAAGTGTTCCATCTCTTGCCTGGTGGTGCCGTAGTGACTCCTCTTTTCGCGCATGCACACTTCAAAGTGCATACTCGAAAGCGCGTACGAGCGAGCTTCTGATTGTTAGTCCACCTCGTTTTTTTTTTCTTTTCGTCACCGCGAGTTGCTTCTCTTCTTTTATCGCATCTTCCTCTCCTCCTCGATTTTGCATCTTCTTCTCTTATTTGTGCTAGTACTGCGGATCGATATTTTAAACTTACGTTATTATATGTTGATTCCCATAAGCATTTATACGTTAATAAATTTGAGTATGTGGATTCCACGTGGATATTATTGTAATTATCCATTTGTTTATTTATTTTTATGAGTTATTGAAAATCCATATTTGCTGAATAGCAGAGATTTTACATTTGTGTGTAATCAGAAAAATCGAGAAATTTGTCGAACGGAAGCCTCTACAAAGTCACGTACCTATCAACGAAAAACATGCGGTAGTTCGTACGTTAATTTCTTGAAAAAGAAAGAAAGAAATAATGATAATTCATCCAACAGACTTAAAGCAGACATTTATATCTCTTTGACACAAAACCTTAAAAAAAATCACGTAGGTATACTTGACCAATACTCGAAAAAAGAGGCAGCTGCGTATAAAACTAAAAAAAAAAGAAAAAAATACGCACCATACGTAGTTACTTTCAAGCATGTCAAGTCTCTCACTCTAAAAAGCTCACGCTTGCGCGCAATTATCGCGTAAATAACGGAGCGTCTGCGTAATTTACTCGAAGAGAGAGAGAGAGAGAGAGAAAGAGAGAGAAAGAGAGAGAAGCGTCCTTGTCGGACGATAACGAGCTCACGCGACGCGAGGTCGCTCGTATTTCTCTTGATCGTCGTGCAAGGCGCCGCCTCGTTATCAGTCTACCACGATCTTTTAACTCCTCGCACACGAGTGTGGTGCAACCCCCCTCCCCCCGGGCACTCCGCCCTCCGCCATATCGCAATAGAGAGGGCGGATAGGTGCGCCAGCACTGGATTATCATTTTCTCTCTCTCTCTCCCAAGGAATATTTTTTTTTCTTTTACCGCGGCGAATGTGACGTGGCGATCTTGTTAGCGTTTTCGCGTGGATTTTCTTCTCTGTTCGGTGAAGATTTTTGCTTGTTGAAAAGCGCTATTTTTTCTTCTTGTCAAATACTGTAAATGAAGCAGTGCAATTACCTGAATGGCCAGAAAAAATAATTCAATGTTTCAGAGTTATGCAAGCAACTACACTTAACTATACTATTGAATAGTTTGTGGAATATTATTAGATGAATCGTGTTTCTATATCTTATATATTTCTAATACGATTTAATTAAGATAATAGATATGTTCGGCTTTACATCATATTGCAGCAATCATTTATTCGGCAAGAGGTGACATCTTTAGCAGGACGTTGATTATCGCTTAAATTTAATGTAAAATGCGTAATTTAACAAAATGTAACCAGGATAAAAAGTAAGATTGATGCCAATTGATAAATCAAAATTTACATGAATGTATTTTCCTCCCAACGAGAATTAATTTTGGTACTAATTATATGAAAAACTAGGAGTGTGCTTCATATTTTACTGGACCGCGCGGACTATCGTCGTCTCCAAGAAATAAAAAAAAAACGAGCTTCTCGAAGATGGTCTCACGTACAATGTCCGTTTGTCTCCCTTATAAACTCTCGTCGTCAAATATTAGCAAAGGACGATAAAAGCAGCAAGCAGCGCGGCCCCTTCGATTCAGAATTTCTTTTGCAGCGCGCCCGAACGGCAGCTGCTCGCTGGGCCTTCGAACGCGAAATCAAGTAGCGTAATAATGCGACTGTACCTCTACCTACGTATCTTTTTTTTCTTTATTGTGAGCGTAGGCATCTAATGCGGGAGAGGAGCGCGCGGAGATCGGGGATTTTAGACGCGTTTGGCTTTTCTTTCCTCTCTGTCGACTTGTAATCCATCAAGGTAAAGCGTACAGAGATGAAGCTTGTCACTCCGATTATGCTGTCTTTCGGATGTGGATGTACAATTACTGATTTTTAATCGATAATTACTTTATTAGTCTGCGTTTTTTTGCTGTGCAAGATACGAACAAGATACTTTTTAGTGTAAACGCGAACAAGACAATAACAAAGATAGCGCGACTTAACGATGCCAAGAAATCACGCAAACTCTATTTTTCCTTTATTAATTGTTGAAGTTACAGTCAGATTTTCAAAAACAGTTGAACTATAGAAAAGAAAATAAGTGAAATTATTAACTTATAAAAAGATTGATACTTCCTATATGAGAGACTAAATCGCATAATTGATTGAACAACAAATAACGATGCCGAGACATTTTAACACGTCTCCAGGTCACGAAGAGCGACAGCCGTCGCCATTTTGCCGTCGGAACGTAGCTGCCGTATACGGCGTATCAACAACCGACACCTAAACATCATTGCCCGTCTAAATCGATCAAACTCCTTTTTAGGCAGTCGAAAATAATCTGCGAAAAGATTCTCAAGATCGACGCTCCAAGAAAGGAATATTTTTTTTCCGCGCTGTAATCCCAAACACCGGCCGCGAACGTATCTTCAAAGGGATATTCCTCGCGAAATTAAAGTGAAAAGTTTTGTTCCCGCCACTTGAAGAGTTTACTTTCCTCTCGTGTTCTTTTTTCCCTCTATCAAAAGCGAAAGAAGAAGAATATCACTCTCCGTTATAATGTTTGGCCAAGCGAATCGATCACCTCCGTAGAATCACAATCGACGGCGCCTCAACGCTAATCGGCGCGCAGCTATATGAATAAGGTACGTATATGAAGTGAGCGTATTGAGTTATTAATCGTAAGACTATAGCATGTTTACCCGCGCGACCCTTTTTTCTGCAGAAGTGGGCTTTTGCATGTACACGCCGTACGCATAGGGTGAAAAGTGACGCGAGCTGAGCGCTCGAAGGGTGTTTGTTCAAAGAAAGTGGCTGTTGAAAGTTTAGTACCGAGGCTCGCGCGCAGCTCCTTCGACAATTATCCATACCGGAGAAAAAATAACTTCCAGCTACAATCTCGCAACAAATCTCCTGCGTGCGATTGGAACAAAAATTAAAAAAAAAAAATAAACAGTGCTCGAGGGCACTGAAATAATGGATGCACTTTCAACCCTCGCTCGCTAATTTCCGTTGGCACTACACAATGTCGCACTCGAGTTGTTGCCTGTATAGCGCGACATTATCGACGTTTTTTTAAGGCCTTGTTTACCGTCAATATCGCAGCCTGTTAAGATCGTTTATGGACACATATACCTTATGGCAAGGTTTAATTGTATGTAAATATTGCGCTGGCCGACGTGCGATTGTGTTTTCAAGAGTACTTTTTTCTCGACAGCTTTAAACAGTTTTCGGTTTTAAATATGCCGTCGGTTTAAATGTGAGTTTTTACTGCTCGCTGTACCTCCAACCGACGGTTGTATCGGGCAGTTTTAATGAGTTTCAATTCAAGTCCGAGCGCATTGACGATCGCTTGCAAATAACGTTGGTATTGATTTTCCGTTACAAGATGAAACCTCTGTGACGCATTAGTTCTTTCGACGTCGCAGCGAGCACACGATTTTATCAAAATCACACGTCGCGTCAGCGCAGCGAAAATCGCATTTGACAAAGCGAACTTTCACGTACCACTTGCCACCAAAGCGTCACAAATCGCACGCGGAAGTTCCAAGAGAGTAAGTATGCCGTTTTCATGAATCCCCTTTGGTTTATAACGACGCGCAGCCTTGATCCAATTCGTGGCGAAATTGCTCTTTGAGAGACGGAGACAGAGAGAGAGAAGAGCGCGCGAATTCGATTATTTCTAATCGAGCCACTCGGCGCTAACACGATTTTCCGGCTACTTTTGTTTTTGAGCTAATTTTCAACGACTGCCGCGATTGCGAATGAGATTAATTTTCGACTGTGACGAGAGTGGAGAAAGATTTTTAGATCGAGGGAGAGTTCAAACTGATGCGAATTTCATTTTTATATCGTGAATGGATGACATTTTTTTCTTTGATAATTTGACATATTGTTTGCAAAAAAATGTACTAATTGTAGGATTATTTCATTTTTGTACAATGTCCAAAGATGATAATTTTGCGTCAAGTTGCGTCAATGTGCTCAAAATGCCAAACTTGAATTGTTATATAATCTGCCCACAAGCCTGCGTATATCTTTCAGTGAAAATCCATTTTTTCAATATCAACAAATAACATTTACATCTCCAAACTATGCACTTCACTTCACGATAATCTAGTAGAAAAGTAACGCTCATAACCTCATTCTCCACGAATCCAAAAAAACACCCGCACATTCTCAATAAAATAAAAGTTTATACATTATAAAAAAAAAACTCACATGACAGCAGCGAAGAAGTCACACTTATGTGGATTGGATCATAAAGGCCAGTTCGAGGAAAAATCAACCAGTAGCAGATATAAACAACCGCAGGCCGACGATGTAACAAAGTTCGGCGGCCGGCGGTATTAGGCACAATTGAAGCTTGCGTCGTCGCTGCATAACCTCCAGAAATTTGAAAAAGAATCCACCCGTGTCTCGCGTTCGCGGGGTATGAGAGAAAGTGAGAGAGAGAGAGAGAGAGAGAGAGATATGTTCGCGTGGCTTATGTACGTGTGATGCCGCGGAGCAGTGCAGAGCGCCAAAAAAGACTACGCGACCACGGACCTTACACACAAGACTCTACCTTCTTGCTGCTGCGGCTGCTGCTCCACCATCCATATAGGCGGAGTTCGCTCGGGGGAGGGGGGTAGGCGGAGCTTCCCGATGCGCACACCTACCTTCAGTCGTCTACGTCCCCGCCACCTAAAGACTATTTACAAGCTTGTGTGTGTTCCCGGGCGACCGTTCGCGGTGTAGATCTCGGCCAAAGTGGTCCGAGTGTTTTTGGCTAATTTGCTTTTTTTTTTATTTTCATATTTGCTCGCCGCTACTGCTGCCGCCGCGGCTTTTCTTGCGCGATGGTCTTTTTTTTGTGCGTTGGCTGCGGCTGCTTTTTTTGCGAATTTCTAAACGCTTCTTGAAGGGCGTTGAAAAACTGATTAATATTTAACCAATATGTATAGTCATTGTTTCACCTGTATATAGTTTTAAAAATGACAATTGATGTATATATATATATATATATATATATATATATATATATATATATATATATTGTCCGCAGCCTCTACGAATCCCAACGGAGTGTACAGCGTAAATACGAATATTCGCTCGTTCGATCGTTGCACTTGACTCGCCCGCGGCTGTCGTCTGCCGGCAGGCAGCCAACAGCAGCGTGGCTGCACAGATGAACAATCGTCGTGTGAATTTCAAGGGGGTTCGCATTGTCTCCTTCACTGTATATATAACCTAACTCTGTTCTCTTTGGGGGTCGCAGAGCTTGTTAGATGAATAATTGAGATTATGGACGCGACGATGTGGATGTGTTTACTTGAAAAAGTATCGATTCTCGAAACACTTTTGCAATTGCCGAGATAGATACGACTGTCGAAGCTTGCGCATCCCTTGTAAGTGGCAACCAAAGATAAATATGAATTTAGGCCTCTAATTTTTAATTAGAGATTTAGTCGCTTATATGAAACCGCACACGAAATTCACGTATTAAACATATCCGTGAAAGCTAACGCGACACTGTTTCACAGTCTCTTGCCGACAAAAGGTGGGAGAGAGAATGAAAAAAAGGTGCACAAAGAGACTTTCCGCAGGATCCCTCGGTCGCTTGGAAAGCGAAACGACGCGAATTCTGCGCCGTCAAAGCTCCCCAATGTATATACATATATAGATGTATTTGCTCTCGCGCACGCGAGGATGGCAAAAGGCAGCAGCCAAGTGCATTGAATCGCGATATACGTACGTGTACGTGTGCGAGAGAGAAAGAGCGGCAATGAACGGAGATGGGATATAATGATGTCGAGTGCAAATGGGAAATGACCACTGCTAGAGGGGCTGAATGGGCCCGGGGAATATATGCGCGCTACGAGAAGGATACGGAGAAAGTCGGTTTAACTGTTTTACGAGCGCAATTGGCGCGATGACTTTAAATCGGTACGGCCGACTCGTTCGATTATTCTCCACTGAATTTTGCAATGAATAACAAGATGAATTTGCATTCGAATCCGTTTAACCTCGAATTTCGATGCCGAGTCCTCGAGCGCGTCGCGGTATACAGAAAACGGCATGGCAGGAAGCGCGCAGAGAAAGAGAGGGAAGGAAAAAAAGTAGCAGCATAAGCGGCCAAATAAATGCTCATCGGTGAGAAGCATCTCTCTCGCACGTAGTTGTGCTGCGCATATATATACACGTCAGGCCATTTGTCCCGATGTGTACAGTTGAGCCAATGGCTGGCGGCTCCACCCTCCTTTCGGTCGATCTTCCTCCAATCGTATAGCTCCTTTGCCCTCTCCTTCCATCCCGACGACGACGACGTCCTTTTCTACAAAGCTGTACTCCCGGGAATGTTCATACGCTGCGCGAGAGGTGAGGAATTCTTGTGGATCTAATTGATTAAGTAGTTATTAAGGCGGTTTTGTGTTTTCAAGATGATAAAATAAGAAGGGATTGTGGATTATGATGAGTCATTTATTTTTATAAGGTAAACGTTGCATGGTATATATAGTAATCACTGTAAAAATTTTCACATTTTTAAAACAAACTATAAAATTATTTATAGTGAGTTTTTGGTAATTACGGAAGTTTGAAACTTCAACCTTTAGTTTTCAATGATAAAAGATTCCATTTTTACAATATTGTATCAAGTTGAACTTGAAACTATAAAAATATCATAATCAACAGTAATTTGTTGGTTATGTAAGCTCCGAAACGAGACCAGCATGTGACTCGTACAACGCTAACAACGATATCCCAACAAGTTCAAACAGCGCTCGAAAGATCATCAAACAATCTTTGAAAGGCCATTGAAAGCAAGAGAAAAAAGATTTCTCAGACGAGAGTTATATTTCAATACCCTCTTCACACCCACCGACAAAAGAATCATAAGCGCACTCATCCGCGGAGTGAACAATGACCAGTTTTTGGGCTGCGCGCACACGCGCGAGGCAGCCAATCTTCTCTCTCTCTCTCTCTCTCTCTCTCTCTCTCTCTCTCCTTCCGCATAAAGCGTTACCCAATCCTTTAATTTGTTGTTTGCCCCTGGAACGCACGTGACCGCGCCACGCGCGCCATGTGACAAGCGCGAGAAAAGAAAGAAGCTGTTGGCCGTCGCAAACACTTTGCTATATATAAGACATAATAGGCTGAAGGGACGAATCGACCCGATAAGGCATATAGCGGTTTCAACGACACGCGCGCGTTCAAATGATTTTCAATCGTTTCAACTTTTAATTCAATAGGTTCACTTGGATCTCTTTCACCTTTGTCGACTTTGCCTTTGATCCAGCGATATGATCCCAAAGCGCAATCATATTTGCAACGCGATTGACGTTTTAATAAATCACGAACGAAATTCGATGGGAATGAAACGCGCGAAATATTCTTTCCTTTTGGCGCGAGCGCATTGAGACGCAACCGCGATGCATTATAATGTGGCATCCGTATGCCGGTGAAAAGCATTGTATATCTTGTGCTCGACACACAAATCTATGTATAAATGTGCAGAGGGTAGAACGCGAGCGCGTCCTTGAAACAACATGCACGCGGTTTACAATGATAAAAAGCAAACATGGGGAATTAAACGCCGAGGAATTACTCAACCAAACAATGTGTCTTTCGACTCTCTCTCTCTCTCTCTCTCTTTCTCCCCGCCTCCCACTTCTCCGCTGAACTGGTCGCCGGTACATTATTTGTGTTGCATCGGATTGCTCGCGTTTGTAATGCTCACGGAGGATCGGTTTTCATTATTATTATTATTATTATTATTATGAGATGCAATATTTACTTTTCGCCGCGAGAGAGGTTTTCAATTTGAGGATTTTTATGCCGTGCCGCGTCTGGACGAAAATTTGAAAAGCGTATGCGAACGGCGAGGATCCGCGGAGTAAGTTTTTCAAATACAATTAAAACGCGAACTCGGCGCGACGCAATGAACTCGCTCAAAACTATTTGATAACAAAGACTTCGTCTGTCGCCGCTAATTTTTCCGCATTCCTCGCGTTTCTCTCATTCTTTTCGCTCCACTTGGCCAAGCGTCCGCTGCGTTTTATCTCTTTTTTCCTTCCCACTACCCTCTCTCTCATAAGTCCGCTACAGTTTACAACTCTCGGCCATTTCCACCGTTTCCAGACTGGTTTGGGCTAAGCCAATATATTCCAGTCGCGCGCGAACGCGGGCAAAAGCTGTCTCGACAATTTGCGAACAAAAGAGAGAATCGCGCACATTTATTGTTACACTCTGCGTATTGTTCCGCAGGTACGGCCGGGGCAAGAGATTATTTTTCTTTTCGAACTCTCGATCAATTGACTGCGTGCAGTTGAACAAAGTGCAATTGATTGGCCTCGGGGATGAAAGCGTATATACGCGATGGAAAAACAAATCACGCGAAGGTTCGCCGAAAACGCAGCGAGTCGACCCGCGGAGCGGCAAACTGAAAACCGCGTGGAACGCGCCAGTCGTCAGTGAAAGCAAAGCTAAGGGTGGCAGAAGTCGGTATAATTAAAAAGGCGGTAGGCGAAAGTCGCCGGCCGACTGCGGAGAGCGAGCGGAATATTCGCGCGAGTCAGGCAGGCAGGCAGGCAGGCAGCTGCAAAGTGCAGCCCTTAGGGGACACCGTCTTTTCCTCGCTAGTCTGACCATTCCTGCGGGCCCCAGACAATTCACAATTAGCAAACACAAACAGCAGTGGAAGCGCGCGCTCGCGTGGGACTTGAAGAGTTTCTGGAGGGTCCTATCTCCGGCTGCTGCCGCCTGCTGCAACTGCGGCTGTGTCGCGCGAGCGACGTCAGGGGAAATCCGCCTCTTTCTCTCTCGCTCGCTCTTGCCAACCCTCCTTTGCCCTCTCCAGCTCTCGCCCGTCGCTTCGCTCTAATCTTGTCTCCGCCGCTGGTTTTTCAACTTCACAGTGAAAACTTTAGCCTCTCTCCGCTTCTACTTTCTAGCTCGCTCGAAATGTTTTTGCGCCGATCATCGGCGCGTCCAAGTCAACAGTCTACAACAGAAGAAGAGCCCGAGGCAATAATTTGGTGGCGCTATAAGAAAAACTTGTAAACTCATTTCGAAATCACCGATGTGGCGCCAAAAAAACAACAGTATGCGCTAATGGCATCGATTAACGTGCGCGAAACTTTATGCAAATCAAGAGAGAGAGAGAGACTGGGAATGTCGTCCTCTTGTCTACTTGGCCATCTGGTGGTGCGGCTGCATCAACTTCTACGTGTGTGTGTGTGTATGCGTGGGTGCGCGTGCGCGTGTGTGTACATGCCTGTCGGCGGCCGCGAGCACTTGAAGCCCCAGCCAGTTACGGCCAACAATGGGGCTTTGTCTTCGCGCCGTCGGCGCTCGCAAATTGGTAGAAATCTTGATTAGAGGTGTGAGTACGTTGCACCCGCTCGACTCTCTCTCTCTCTCTCTCTACGTGCATGACAACCAAGAGCGCACTCCGCGTCCTGTGGATACCTATGTATATACTTCAATTAGTTATTGTTACCGATATCATGGAAAAAATAGAATCTATTTAAATTATACTATGAAAGAATGTATAAATTGTTGAAATGATATTTGAAACGTAGTAAAGATTGTTCAAGTCTAAATAGAACTATAAACAAATTGCCCAGCATGTAATTAAAATTGTTATTCTTAATTTAGAAAGAGAATTTACCAGGAGTTTTACGATCATATATCGTTAGAGAAACAAATTGCTTGAAATTATCACTATTCCTAACAATGCAATATATTAGAAGAATATATTACATGAAATCTATAAAACTATTTTTGCAATTCGGATAAATCTTCATAGGTAGGGATATCAAATCGTGTTTGATATTTTTGTTCAGTCCGATCTGCAGAGGGTCGTTCAAATTTTCCGCGATAGTAGAATAAATTTTTGAACAATGTGACATATATAGAAACGCCTTTACGAGTGTTAGTGGTCAGTGAAAATCTGTTTGGGGGATTATTACCGGGATTACAACGCTAATAATGACATCTTTATGACAGACTGCGACTTCATTGATCTTGACAGATGGGTCGGAATAAAATCTCTAACTACGAGCTCCGCCTACTCGAACTATATATACGATGCACAATGATATTTTCATGAATCGTATTCGCTGTATGAACTTGTGGTGAATTCGGATTTTCGAATATTATTCTGTTGTATGAATAGATTCAACGGATAATAAAGCTTTTGCGGTGCGACAGAAAACGATCGTGTGTGCGACAAATTTATTCGGTGCCACATGAACTGAAAGCTGATACATGAAGCGAATAAGAAAATCTTGAAAAATATTGTAAAAGTCTTTTGCTTGGCATTCAATAGCGCGCGGTGTTCCACGAAAAATAGCTAGCCGTGCCCACGAAATTCAGACTGTACAGTATATATATGTACGCGATAAGAGCTGCTCATGTCTCGCGTGCTTTTGGAAACGAACGTGGCGCACGAAAGGCAGCGTCGAGATTTTGTACAAAAGGGGCGCGAGTAGTAGTCAGAAGCCAGCCGGCTAGTGCGCTACCATTTAATTACGCCTTGAAAAGGTCGGCCGCGCGCGAGCCAGCAGACCGATGCTCTCTCCCTCTCTCTCTCTCTCTCTCTCTCTCTTGCCTTTTTGCTTAAATATATCAGTCTCGTATTTGCCTCATTTTTTTTGCATTTTGCGTTGAATTAACGTGCAATAGGTTTTCGTAAAACTCTTTCAGTACAAAAATTATTTTGTACGATTTCGAAAACAGCTCTTTAACCCTGATATACTTATTTATTTAAAATTGTATGAGCATGTGCGAATTACTGGTAACTATCCCAACAGTGTAGCGCTGAAGTTTTTATCGTGCCCCATTGTAAATGAAATGCACACAATACGTGATCCACTTATTTCTGTAAAATAAATCACGAAGAACGTACTTTTAGCTTTTTCAATGTCTTTCTTTAATACAGGTGATAAAACGACATGAATGGACAGTTTGTAGTGGAATTTCATACTCCTGTAGTTTCTTTTTTTAATTTATCGTGAGCTTGGTTTAAAAATGACAAATTTTTCATAGAAATTGGGGTTATTTATATGCTCTATTGGTTTGTTTCAATTACATCCAGCATTCATGTATAACATCACCTGCAACCTTCTGAAAATGACGTGTACGTATGAGTTCTTTAATTTGAAATTCAACATTGTATCACGTTAGCAGCGAATGTGCCGAGAAAACAATTTATCAAAACAATTTCACGCTGTTAAAACGAAAAAAAGAAAATTTCCGTTGCGTCTCCCTTTTTTATCATCTCACCTATACGTTTGAGAATTGCAAGATGAATACACACTACGAAAAGAGATATCTCCCATCAAGAATCAGTCACGTGTTAAATCCAAAGCTTAGCGATGATGAATATGACTATACATTATTGGCTCTGCTGAATTCTGAAGTTGTTTCATTATAATATTTCCTCTTGGTATGTCGCAGAATGTTTATTCAACCAACTTTATAAAATATAAAAATATTGTTTCGCGTGTAGATCATTTTGAATTGGTTGTTGCCCGACATTGCCTTGATAAAAAGAACTTTTTTTTAATATCTGAGAAGTTTCAAGTGAAAAAAATTAATAAATTCTATTAATTATACAAATGATTTAATCAAAAGCACTACATTAAAAGTGCTAAATTAACTTGAGCATTTCAATAGAGCTTTTTTTCTCGCAAATATTCTCGATCATTACTACTGCGACATCTTTCGAATATTAGACATTCGCTGTTATCTGCTTTGCCGACATTTCCAGTATCGACTGGAGAAATAACAAAGGGCCTCGCATCGCTCCACCCTGTAGAGAAATCTTCATAACCAGCGAGGGATGAAATTATATACCTCGCGATCCGAATGTAAGGCTTTTCTTTTGCATATGTTCTATCATTCTTACCATATTTTTCACGACAGTTAAGTTTTTTACAGAAACCAAAACATATTCATACACTTTATTTTATTTGAACACTTACAATACGAATGATTTAAGTAAAAATAAATTATCGAAAAAGTAAAAAAAAACATTCAACCGTATTAATCATAAGGTTCTTTGTCACGATACTTTTTAACAATGTTATTTTAATTGTTTCTCTCTAGACATAATTTTAATGAATCCCATTATTGTACTCTCGACATTGCAACGTAAAGTTATCCATGGCTGAAAACGTATCTTTCAAGACCTATACCAATGTAATCAAAGGTTTGACCTTGCGCTTTGTTAGATCATTGTAAATCTTAATTTAATTGGAAATCTAATCTAGTAGAATAAAATGCAACGGCATAAAAAATGCTCGCTAATACTTGTCAAATTACAGCTGTATGTAACATCCCTTAAAAAACTTTTTATGTAAATCTGCTTATTATAACACCAAATAGATCAGCAAATTTCACAATTACTCACATCCATTTTTTAAAATATAAAACACAACGTCTTTTCAACCAAAATCTATTTTATAAGCAAGTGTCAACCACACTGCCATCTTTATTACATAATATTTTAATTATTTGAATTGGTTTTTTTATATTTTCCAATTTAAATATTATCCGAATTGTATAATTATGTTTAAATAAATGAATAATCATAAGTAATTATAAAAGCCTTAATACATAATGTCGATCTTCGAAATAATTTATTTAACTCTAAAAACTCTAACCGCATGCGTTATTAAATGCTTAAAATTCGGTGATCGTTCTTTTAAGAGAGGAGTTTTTTTAATACTTTAAAAATACATGAATATATATTTTATTTGATGATTTGATAAGTCTTCCAATTATTTTAAACACTCTAAACTTTGCTGACGTTTTGAGCTCCTAATTTCGTACTCATTTTATTATTTCAAAAGCTACTGATATAGTTAATAAAATATATATTTAATAATAATTTTATAAAAAATTTTATAACACCACACCACCGTTGTGGTGCACTGATATAAAGACATATCAATCAACCTTTATCTTATCAAAACTAACAATGGTAACATTTCAATATATCTTATATATTTATATGGATTAATAAGGTTTATCGCATTTTTACTCAGTTTACGTTTTCACCAATAAACAATTTCGAAAAATATTGATGTAACTTAACACGACTGAATATTATTAATAATCATTCATTTGACGAAAATATTTCAGTTTTTTACTAAAAATTCTTCACTGATAAGATATCAGTAGCAAGCTATGAATATTGGAATAATCATTGAGCTTTAACATGTGCATGGTAAATAAAAGGAACTTCTACATCGATGATACTGCAAAGTAGTCACGTGATTAAAACGTATTGACCAGGTGCAATGTATCCGACTTTTTGCAGAGTGCGTGTAGCGCGAAAAAATTGTTAAAAGATAAATTAATATTTGTTGAATATCAAATAGCAGAAATTTCATTGATTAATGCGTTGATTAAAATATCGATTCGAAACTTCGTGTACGAATCGAGGTAGATGATTATTTCATGAAAATGATAAAGTTGCTTCACATTCATCGTGTTTTCCTTGCTTGCACACGGTATAATCTCTTTTTTCCAATAACAGATTTATAAAGAATTTGAGCGAATGGAACGTCAATCACGCGTCGCTAAATAAAAACTTGATGAAATATTCGCCGAGTATTGACGAATAAAAACGTTCCCTCGCAATATCTAAACGACAGGTTGCAATTTAATTAAAAAAAAAATAGCGTCATGGCATCAAACAAACGCGACGGTGATAAATACAAACATCTAAAAACTGTACAAATAGCTTTTTACGACTTGAAGTGAAAACAATAAGAAATAAAGGACAATTGCCTAAGGAATGCACTTATTCTCAGTAGCGATAAGTAAATATAAGCTAAACGTAGAAATCTTTACGACTTTATCTAGTACGTGAGAGCCGACATGTGTTCAAAAGCGAAATTCCGGCGCGTTATCGGTGTATTCTTTTGCCAAACGATGTCGGGTAGTCGCATTCACGCATATATATCGAAGCTGTTCGATTATCAAATCGATTTCTTTGACTTATTTTAACAGCTTTAATTTAAATGAAGTTGTGTTGGTTCTGATTTATCGTTGTCTTCTCTTTCAAGAAGTTTTTCTTCGACACTACATCGATTCTTCTCTTTCTTTTCTTCTCACTGGTGAGTTTCTTGGTTTTACACACTTTGGTTTGTTTATTTTTTAAGCTGTCAGATTCAGGGATTTTAAACAAGTGATTTTGCTCTGTGGAAGAAAATTATTTTTCTATTATTTCAGATTCTATAGCTGAAATATACTTTACAAACAATATTTGAAAAATAGTACTTTCTCAAATTGATTTTTCATTTTAGATTTCGAATAAAACGATTGTACATTTTCCTAGTCAATTAAAAAATTATTTACGTTATAATATACATTTTATAAATGTAACATATAAAAAATAATTGTATAAAAGAATAATGAGGAAAGGTTAAAAAAAATAACATACTTTATAAAAAAAACTTTTATACTTAATAATTCGCATGGAACAGAATTTTTTTTTTGTCTCAACATGTTCATTGCATTCTCCCATTTATGTAATCCATTTGAACAATCTTACACACAGGCTTTACAATTAAAAATATATCTAAAGCAGAATTCTTAAATTTAATTGATGAAATATGTGCTTATCCTTAGCATTTACTATTTTTTTCAACTTGTTAAGTTTAGTAAATTTTCTTAACGAATAAATTCTTGGAAGATGTAATTTGATAATCAAATAAATGCGTCAATATGATACGTAGCAAATCTCGAAATAGTTGACTCCTTTACAAAACAATAAGGATGTCAAATCGTAGATATTATTTGAGATTGCACAAATTGATTTCTCCAACAAATTTTTAATATTTTATACAACTATATATTGAGTACTTAGCAAATAATATCAAGTTATTTAACTTTCTTTGAGAGTCAAAGAGAAAATATTCATCAAATAGTTGAATTACAACATTATATTCTAGTCATGTTCATCTTAATGTATTTCCGTACATTTTTCAAATGTTTTTAGCACATGTCATGTCTAATAACAATACATTTTAATGTTAACACGCAGAAAAAAAATGAGTACATTGCTTCAACACTTTAGGCACCAACACGCACAATCACTGGAAGATATTATCAAACAATCGAAAATTGAGTAAAATCGGACTAGATTCTTTGTTGCCCGGTTGCACAAAGCAAGCCATTCTTCTAGTTAATACGTCGCAAAAGTGTTTAAACTACCGTTGAGTGAGTGAATAATGGATCGAAAGTACCATTATAAAAAGCCCAAAAGTTGAGGGCTTGCTGTTGCTCGATATACCTTTGCATGTCGTAGTTAACTAAAGAACGATTTTTGTTTTTGCAACCGGGCTCTAGTTACAAAGAATGAGTCGATGTCAGATGACTACTCAAAGCTGACTTGTGAGTGAACTTTTTCAGGCAGATAGGGCATTCATTATTTTTATCTACAGTATGGGATATCAAATGTTTTCGAAGTGCCGTCCTGTCACGATAGACTTTTTTACAAATAGTGCATTCATAGGACGAAGCTTCTGTTGTATGAGTGAGAATGTGGCTATTGAGAGTCGTCCTTTGAGTAAACGATTTCTGACATATGTAACATTCATAGGGTCTATCACCGGCGTGAATCAACATATGTTTCTTCAACATCGATTTCTCACGAAAACCTTTGTGACAAATATGGCAGATATGCCTTTTATCACCTGTATGAATAACCATGTGAGAATTCAGTCTTGTCTTTTCTCGAAAAGCCATGTTGCAATATTGACAGGCATATGGCTTTTCGCCGGTGTGAACTAAAACGTGCCTGTTCAAATCGGATTTCCTCGTGAAAATTTTATTACAAACCTTACAGTCGTATTGACCTCCTGTGTGTGAAAGCATGTGACTATTTAAATCAGACTTGCGTGCGCACGCTTTGTGACAAATGTAGCACTCGTGAGGCTTTTCACCCGTATGTACCAGCATATGAGAATTCAATTTAGCTTTTTCACGAAAAGTCATCAAGCATTCTTGACATTCATATGGCCGTTCTCCAGTATGGATCATAGAATGCCTCATTAATTCCGACTTTCGTTTGTATGTTTTTTCACAGATATTACAGGCATGAGGCTTTTCTCCACTGTGTGACAGCATATGATTATTCAAAGCAGTTTTTTGTCCAAAGGCTCGGTGACACATGGTACATTTGTATTGCTTGTAACCTGAATGGACTAGGTCGTGATTATTCAACTGGTCCATTTTGTAAAATTGGGCAGAGTATAAATGAGCATTATGGAGTTGCTCACCTGTATGAATCAGCATGTGACGGCTAAAATTTCCTTTGTCACGAAAGGATGTTTGACAAATTTGACAAGTGTATGGCCTATCTTCATTACTTAATCCGTGATCATTGGGTTGTCCATATCTTTTCAAAATAGCTTGTTGTAAGCTGTCATATTCAAATTGTTTGTTTGACATGTGACTTTGCATGTGATTCCTCAAACACCATTTGTAAGCAAATCTTTTTTGACAAATTGTACATTCTACTGGGCTCATTCCCACATGCGTTAACATATGAGCATGTAAACCAGCATTGTCTGTGAAACTCTGATGACAAACTTCACAAGTATTGCCAGTAGAATGTGTTTTCAGATGAGTCACCATAGAATCATTATTCAAAAACCATTTCTTGCATAGTGTACACTGGATTTTATAAAATTTCTGAGCTGCACTTGAGTCAAGGAAATTTGGATCACCTGGTCCACCATGTTCACCACTTTCACCCAAAGCTGCACTTGCTAATTGAGCTGCCCAATGATGATGAGGACTTTCAGGATCAAATTCCAGTTTAACCTAGTGAAAGAATTTATAATTACTCAAAATATTTCAAATTATTACAAATTTTATTGTTGAATTCAATTTCATTATCAACAGTGTGAATATTAATTTCGTGCACAAAGAATATAATAGTTTTCGTAATCAAAATTCTACTGATACTTGCTATAAAGATAAAGATACCATAGTACAATTATTTACCATATCTTCAGGAAAATCAACTTCATGATGGTCCATGGATTGAAACATTTTTTCAAAAGTACCCAAACAAATGTCTTCCATGTAGCTTGATTGGTACTTCTCACCAGGCTCTTCTTTTAGTACGACATTCACAATGTTTGCATCCTCATAATCAAACATTATTCATAAATATACTTATAACTTATTATAAATACATTTCATATCAAAGGGAATACTTACCATAACCTGGAGATTCATAAACCCATCTTGTGGATCATTTTGTGATGCATGTGGTTAGTTATACATTAACTATGTATCGGAAACCTAAAAACTCGCATTACTGTAATTAAACATTTTATATAAATAAAGCTTAATAGCTTCTATATTTTAAAGAAGCAACTGTAAACAGAGGTGTGTACTGGAGTGTGAAGTTATAATTGAATACAAATATCAAAGTAAAATTGTATTCCAAGTTGAAACTGTACATGTTGAGAACGAAGAATGTTGTTAAGACGAACTTTTAAACAACATTAATATTTAACATGGAAGTGATTTACGTACATAAAAATGAGGATGACATAACCTTGCTTTGACATGTCATTTACTTTGGTATGAGATGATTGTACTAAATAGAGTGAGTTACATACTATTTGAATAAAACAAAACATAGTTTTATTAAATATACATTATTAAAATTACCAAAAGCTTATGGAGTTAGTTATTAAAACAGGTGCAATAAAGCGATATTAATTGAGATAGCCATTTCTTTACTAATCCGTTGATTCCGTTGGCGTGCATGTATGTGTGTGCATATATTTTGTAGCAGTACCTATAGTGCCGCCCTCTAACTGGTGTAGTATGGATTGAAGATTGATCCGCGAACTCTCAAATCTAAGCATTGCATGGTATAAGTAATAATAATAATAACTTATTATTTATGATTAAAAATTATTCAGTTTTTTTTTAATTACTATGATTATAATGCTACTAATAGTATACAACAAACAAAAAAAGAAAGTAATATATTTAGAACATCAAATAAGGTTATTTAAATGAATTTTTGTAAAATTATAAAGTTTTTGTTTTAACTTTAATTATATTTTTTGTGCATATACTAAGAAAATACATATTTTAAGAAATTTTACTACCAATCGAAACTTTTCTTTTTCTTGTAGCTTTGAAAAAAAAATGTTGTTCTCATTAGTAATAATATAAAACGCTTAAACATTTAAATTATTAAAGTAACTTTTTATTTGAGCTATTTGAAAATACATAACAAAAGATTTTTCTACTGTTATATATTTTCAATTGAATGTACTTGAATTAAAGAATATTCAACGATTTTGCTAAAAGGCGTTTAATCATGACAGACTTTATAGTAAAAATTTACATGATTGACTGAATAATTTGAAATAAAGAGAATCTAGTTGTATGAAAATAAATAAAGTTACACATAACAAACATGTAGCTAAATAACGTGAAATAAGAATTATATTTTTAATATTTACATCCAGTATATTACAATGTACATTAAAGAGGCTCACTTCACAGTGTCATTCATTAGCTTAACGAAAGTGAAAAAGTGTAAAGTGGCATCAAAGGAAACTTTAAGAATTAGTACCAAGTTCAGTTTTTTAAGAAAATCGATGAACAAATTATATGCCACGTCAAAACTAGCTCAGCGAATGGAAAGTTAATGAGATAAAAAAAGATGATGCGATATACCAAAAAAAGATGTATTTAATTTGAAAAAAGGTACTATACTTCTTATTTGAATGTCTGTCAAATTGCGTCAAGCTAATGCTAGCTGTAAAGGAATATTTCTGTAATTTGTATTGTATATCAAGAAAGGTACTTACTTACCAAATTATTAATTAATTTTTTTTTATTTCTATACTTTTTTATTTTTATTTTTATTTTTATTTTTATTCTGTCTAAAAAGAAATATTAATATTTTGTGGTCAGTAATTAAGCATCGCGATCATCTGCTCGTGATTCATGTTATAAAAATATGTTGCACGCTATTAAATTTTTAGATTATATATTGATTATTGATCTCTTATTTAAATAATTATTCTTGAATCTTGATAAATCAGAAAAAGGTCAAATTTTAATGAATACTCTGATAAAAATTTTTGCATTTATTAAGAACAAATTAATTAAAAAATTATTTTAAATGAGCAGCACATTTATCACTTTGCGCTTCAACTTTGCTTTTCTTAATTAAAAAAAAGTTAAATAATTACCGTGCATATTTAATTGTAAATAATACTTATACTATAAGAAACGCGGTCTGAATATTGAAATAATTCGCAATTTAAAAACCGCTCGAATACAGCTGCTGTATATGCAACCATTCTCTTTCAGCATCCTCGAAAGCTCCTGTGCTTACTGAGCTTAGTGTAAGACACTACAAATGCACCATGACTACGAGAAACTGCTTTGGTACTAATTGTGAAACTGAATGCATTCGAAAAGCCACGTAAAATTCCGTAATATAAGTCGTAAGGGATATTCAATTCGACATTGGAATAATCGATCTTATTGTACATTATATAGCAATTTGACACTACAAAGGATATCGGACATTTAAATAGTTGATAAGTCTATATGCATTTCCGAAGATCAGTTGGCAGATTCTTTTCTATTTACATATTTATTATATTACGTTAATTAAATGAACTATCAGAATAATCAGAATGATTATTAATTGCATTCAAAATTTATTAAAAAATTAGAGTAAAAACAAAGTACTGCCTCTTCATTTTTGAATTGAGTAAATGACATATTTCTTCTTGATCTAAATCATTGGACCATTTCTCATTATTTTCTTGAACCTTTTTTTTATTAAAATTTTCAGAAATATACTGTACTATATGCATGTCGTGATCCATATATCCCTTATACATTGATCCAGAGCATACATAGCTATACTAATAACATTAAAAATTACAATTATGCATGCCTCTATTGTGCGGTTTTTAAATAACTCACAAAAATACAGAATTTTTCTAGATTTTAGTTAATTTTTTTAAACAGTTCACACTTTTTAAGATAACGAAAATTAATTAAAGAATTGGTATATCTGTATATAAATTCTTACTGTGATAATACAAATTTATATACTTAATAGCTCTTCGATTCGAAAAAAGAATTGAACCTATTCATTCAATTGTCATCTACTCTGCCTCTTCCGAGCAAAAGGATAACAAAAAAAAACTAAAACGGCTCATCTCAGGAGCACGTCTAGAGCAGATTTAGCTATTCAATTTGTTTCTTTATTTGAACTCATGGCTTACCAGCCGAGATTGACCTACGACATTTTAATCCGCTGAAATATTTAGTACTCCCAGGCTATTGCCGTTCGCTATTGGTTTCCAATAAAATTTTGTCATAAAAATTTACACTACACCGATTTGCAATCTGTCATTCGTTATCTTGTTGGACATGGCGCTCTACATCATTTCAAAGTGTCAATTGTCTTGCTTCATAAAAGGCAAAAATAAAAATTTATATTTTATTTCTTGTTTTATGTAGATCAGATAATAACTTTGTTATATATTATGTAATTCTTTAATCCGTGAAATCTTCTTTTCAATTATCCAGAAAAAGGACATCCTTGGGAGAACGTTGGGAGATGAGATTTTATGCTACTAATAATTGAAATTTATACTCTTCGATATTTTTTATTCAAAGAAACAGTTTTATTTTATGAAATCGTTTAAAAAGTGCTTGGCGTGAAATTCTCACAGCACTTGAAATCGAATAGTTTGCAGGTCAGCAGTATCCGAGTTCAATATCTGCCTCCGAATCCATTGAGAATCGACTAGAAAGCAATGCAGACCGACGAACAGCACACGCATAACAACAACAAGATCAGCGGTTGCATCGACTCGTCGACAGAATTTAACTGCTGGCGGACGTTGTTCACTCTAGTCAATGCTATCAATCACGTGCTGGTGTTACTGACGACTGGCTATCTGGTATATTTGGCTCGCGACTTGAGCATCAGCACCAATCTTCACGTTGTACTGTGTACTATCGGGGTAAGGAAGTTTATACAAATATTTGACAGCTGCTGCTGTTGCTGCTGCACTCTGACCTTTATTTCGTATGTATATACTGTCGCGCACTTGCGTCTCGGCCACGGAATTTCGATTGTTCTTGTGGTGCAGTAGTGCTTTAGTGCGAGAGAGGCCAAACGAGTATTTGGGACAACAGAAACTGAAATTGCCTCTCTCTCTCTCCTTCTCTCTTCCTCTCGCTGCCTTTCTGCTTTGGACAGGGTTGTTTGATTGTGTTTGGGCTTGCATGCCAAGTTATAATTCCTACGATGCTGAGTATACGCGCGTAAAATTTCATTTTTTTTTTCCTTTGTCCTCGTCGTTATGTTCACTTAACTTGATTGCATTCTCTCTTCTGAACGTGGTAGTTTATAAGTTTTTTTCTTATCAATAAATTTTTTACGATTGCTAAGCTCAAAGGCTAAATTTTCAAGAAATTCGTATCTTTTGTGAAAACATTTTCACTTTCCAAGTAAATTGTATTTACATGCTTTTCATTTCTTATTGACGCACAGTCTTCTTATGTAATCAAAATTGAATAAGAGTTGGTTAATCGAGAGCATTTCTTTCGATATATATAGAATCACGTGTAATTGATGTGGATTCATAAAATAAATTGCACATTTGTGACATAAAAAAATTGAAACTTTGAAAATGATTTAGAGTGACATGTTTAATAAGATAATGAATAAAAAATCACAACACGGCGTAGTGCAATTACTTTATAACGATAAATTGTAAATTAATGTCTTTCAATATTCTTTATTCAAGGAAACAATTTTGTTTTGCCACAGTGACCCAATGCTGCTGAGAACGTTAATTTTACAGTAACAATGTTTAAAATAATTAAATAGATTTAAAGCTAACGCACTTACAGTTGTTGTGTAATAGCAGTAGCCTCGCTTGATTTCGTATGCGAAGGTTAGCCAGATAAACTTTTAGTCCTCTCTCTCTCTCTCTCTCCCTCTGAAACTCTCTACGGAAATCCTTGTGGATTCAAGGCGCACCGATTGGATGTGACCGAAAACGGAGTCCTTTAAATTTTATCAATCGAAGAGTGAAATTAGTCCGATTTTGATGAATTCTCGCTAGTTTTGCTTGACCGGTTTGTTTGGTTGCAAAAGTTACCGTTTGAGTAACTTTAACTTTTTGAATATGTCTGCGTTTGACTCTCTTTTTTGTTCGCTTTTGAAACGAATGTTTTACCCAGCAAAAAACGTTATTTGCCGATTTATTACTTTTCAAAGTATCAAAATGCCAATATACATCGATTATATTTACCTAGAAACGGTTGGAAACTCATAAATCTTATTTTGATTATTGTATATTTTAATTAAAATTGCAATAAAAATCTTCTAGAAGTCTACCAATATTTAAAAAATAAGCTCGAATAGAAATAGAAATCCATGTATAATTTACTAATTGAAATTCCATTAGTGGCACAAGTATAACAGGCAAGTACGTCGTTTCGTAAAAACAATAACAAGCCAAGATAATTTAATTTTCTTGTTAAGCCGCGTGACAATCCGAGCTGCACATTCCGAAAATTCAATAACTACATGACAATGACATTTAGAAACGAGCAAACTTTCAATAATAGTCGTCAGGAGTCGACCGACCAAGCACCTCAGTTGCAATAATCGGCAAATGGGCCAACTTCTTGGGTCTACAGTGCAGTAGCACACGTATATAACCCATCCAATTTTTAATCAAAACAACTCGCTCGCAGTGTTGGCGGTAGCAGTGCTATGCTTAAAGCCGGAAAGTACTCTCGGGGCGTTGATTGCAATGGCCCCGAACTTTTGCGTAACCGCGCATTGCTGAGCGCGTTTCGCTCTTTCATTCGTTGTGAATAAAGACTAGAGTTAGTGAGAGAGAGAGGCAGAGAGAGACAGGGAGAGAATGAATGTGCGGTGAAGTACCAATGCACACGTGAAAGCATCCGAATTTACATGGTTCCTGTATTTTTCAAACCACAGATAAGCATTTACTCGCTATAAGAATAGACAGACATACGTGAACGTTTCTTTTTTGGATCAGAAATGAAATCATGTCTAGATTTTGTGGTTGCAGCGAAATAATTTTTTTCGGAGATCTCGTTCATGTATTAAATATGAAATACAATTTCTTTCTTTTTTCATTATTATAAAAATGTTAACTTTTATAGACGCTTTCATACGTCGATTAACTTTCTTTTATTTACACATGCGAAATTACGTTTTTATTGCGGAGGATCATAGATTTACTGCTGGTTTTGCTTACTACGTAGATTTCAAATGAAAGAGCTGCGAGTTTGCGCGTGTAAGCTGTCGGATCAAAATAACGAGATAGTTATCCGCCTGATAATATGCATAATTACAGCTAGACAATGAGGATTTCGAAGCACACCGCTAGATTATAGTCATATTACATGCATTTGAATGCCTTTTCATTAGCTTTCATGGCAAAATATTATTTATCGTTTTCAATTCTATTGTACTTTATTGCATTTTTTTTTAATGCAGATTACATCCAATTATTATATATAAGCAAACATTCTAGTACTCGTTACAATATCAAATATACAGGTAAGAAAAATGCCGTACATGAAGTGGAACATTTCTACCTTATCACAAAAAGTTATTGCTACTATAAACACAGTCTAAAAGGCAGCGAAAATATGTGGGGCATATATATTCCTAGAAAATACCTGCTTATAACAATAAAAGATAAAAGGGTTGTTATTTAAAAGTTGAAAATACTTTCGTTTTTCAAAGCCATACATTTTTTAACGAGTAGTTCAAAGATTACAATGAAAGTCTAAGAAGTTATTTTAAAAATATGGTGTAAAGAAAAATATTTTTCAAGGAAACTATTTCAACAATTCAATCGATATTATTAGTTCAATGTGATTAATACATTAAAAAACGGTCAACATATTTTATGCCAATTAATCGTTTGTTAATTTTCCTGTTCAAATATTAGTATGTCAGATAGTATTTCATTTCTTAAGAAAATAGTATTTTATTTTTCGTATTGAATAAAAGAGCATTATTTTAAGTAAATCAAATAACAAAATCACATCTCCTAGAATTGGTATCTTTGGTGAAACGAACCCTATCATTTACTTTAAAAAAATATTATTACAAGTTTTCTTCCTTTTGATTAAAATTATTTTATTTCAAAAGAAATGTTTTTAATATTTTTTCCAATGATTCCAAAAAGAATCAATATACAAATAAAGATCCAAATTCCATTTCCCACATCTAAATATTATCACTGATTTTGCAGTACGTGTTGCTGATGTCCGAGGCAATAGTGGCACTAACCGGTGAGAATTTGTGGTCTCGAAAGCTAAGTCGTCGTTTCAACAGCCACGTGCATTGGGTTCTACAGGCAATTGGCGCAGCTTGCAGTATAACAGGTGTCTATGTGTTGTGGAGAGGTAGTTTTCGTTCAATTCACGCACTTGTGGGAATAGCATCTGTAGGCGCAATAATTGGTATTTTTATTACCGGTTTACCTGCAATTTTCGCGACACGACTTAGAAAAGTCATACGACCAGTTATAGGCAAATTTATACATAACTTTTTAGGAATCTTGTGTTTTGTTGGAGGTATGTACGCGCAAATTGAAGGTTATAAGAAAGGTTGGCTGAGGAAAAAAGTCAGTAACGACGTCATACAGGTGATGATTGTTACAACCTTTATGATTATAGTTTTTTCTCTTATGGGTTCTCTTAGATCGCTGTGGGAACAATTTAAGGGTTTATTCAATTGTCGGTAGACTAGAATTTCAGCTTCAAAGTGTACGATCTTACTTTCAATAGAACTTTTATATATTTTACCAATATATTTATTTAATTTTATCAGTATATTTGAAGGATAATTAAATGCATTTTAATTATACTTTATACTAAATACGTGCAAATCAAATGTTATAAATTTACTATTTGAATCATATGGTACTGTTGTTATTCTGTTTAATTCGTTACTATCCATTGTTGCCAGTCCATAACCCATTGATCGTCGTATTTTTAATAAAAGTATTCATTATTATGATTATTGAAATAAATTTTACTTAAAGTATATTCCAATAAAAGAATTGCGAAAATTATATAAAAAGCACTTTTCAACTAACGAGAAGGTTGTAAAAGGCTCATTATATAATATATATTCTATCTTGATATATTTCGAGCAGAAGATATTATAGTCGCAATTATATAATGGTGAAGTGTAAACCAAATTTCAATAATTAATATTAGCCTATAAAGATTTCTACAATATTATATGACGATTTAGCCTATTTAATTACATTGAATAAACAATTATTTTCTGTATATTCCTGCTTTACTTATGCGATTCTTAAAATGTAGATTTTTTTATTAATTGAATATCAATAAGTTATTCTTCAATTCTTATTTTCAATTATTTATAACAATATCCCTTTTCAGTCTCTATTCAATAGTTTATCACTGAACATAGTGTAACACATCTTATTTGAAAAGGCGTACAATAGCCTACACTTAGTATACAAACAATATATCCAGGAGAGAGAGAGAGAGAGAGAGAGAGAGAGAGAACACAAACATCAGCTCTAATCGAATGTAAATGTATTGGCTACAACAAGCGGAGCCGATAACAATCGGCTGCGTACTGTCGACAACAATCGGCAAAGTTGCACACGAGCGCAATAGTTTGTAATCTGTTGCGTGTGCGCTTAGTTGACAGCCAAGCACTGATTAGCCAATAAAACGCTACAGCACCCGGCCGCATATAGTTTTCAAACCGTCAACGATTAAATACATAGCGGCAAGTAGAATTTGGCAGGTGGGGATCGTTTTCTGCGTTGGTCGGCCGCCGATATCCTGATTAGCCGTTTGTATATCGAGCGAGCGAGCGCATTTACGTTCATTAGTTCGAAGCGCTGCTCGCTCGCACGCTGCACTGACCGCTTATAATAAGCACGTCAATAATCGCCACCTACTGCCTGCGTACCCATTAAATGATCGCCGTGGCTTAGCCTGTATTGCCTCGCTGATGCTTATACGTCCCTACCTACCTCTATCCTGGCTAGCCGGTAAGATTATACCTTGCCCGATGGATTTTCGGTATTTAATTCTAACGCTATCGATATGGCCACTGAAAGAGATTTGCGTGTTTATCCGCTTTTTTTTCGAACGGCTATTGGTTTCATGATATTACTCGGTGTTTTTCGTGCTTCGGTGTACATTGAAAGTGCATACATTTTTTTTTTTTTGATGCGACGTTTCAGAGTAACACTCTCATAAAAAAATTTGTAAGTAAACATATTCATGATTGTAAAATCAATGTTTTGTATTGATAACTTGTTAAGCATGATGTCATTTTCATTTTTAAATGAAGAAAACCAAAGATGCGAACGAACCGTGCTAGCAAAAAGCTGTTTAAAAATTAAACTATTGGTCATTAATTCATTGTTACTAGGCGCTAAATATCTATCTTCATTAATACTCCTTGGGTTGGCTCATGACATCGTCAACATTTATTATTATCTTTACTAACAATTTTAGGTTGAGTAAAGTATCTTAAAACTGTAAGTGCAATTATATTATAATTAAAGTTTTTCAAAGGTTATATATGGAGAGTGACGTTGTTGATGTAATATTATATTTCAAAGCTGTGACGTTTAAAGGCTTTTTAAATTGCTGAAGAGTTTCAGAATTTTTCTTGAACTGATAAGGCTGACTTATATTTAAGTCATAAAATAGATGATAAAAATAAATTTCCATCATAATTATACAATATTATTCCGTATTATTTTCACCTTCAATTGTGTTCGTAGAAAAAAAGTTAACCAAGATTCGTATTTGAAAAATAAATTTTTTTTTTATCAACCACATTTCAGTGGAGAAATGTTCGAATATTTATAAAAAGTATTTTCACGTATACAATCATGAACGACATGGTTATTAAATCGGAATATAAAAAATAAATTTTCGCGGAACACGGAACATCTACTGTAACTAAATGTGTACATAAAAATTCATCCGATTTGTTTGATATGGTTAAAAAAGTAAATTATTATTAAAAGCTCGTTATTCAAATATTGAAACAATGAAAACCCAAACAAAATAAAGAAGATCTTTATCTTGTAAAATTAAAGTACAAAGAAATAAAAATGAGACAGTTACATTATCTCGATATCGCATTATGTACATTTCAATAAGCGAACGGGCACCGATATTGCAGTGCTTCGCAGACCTCATTATAAAAATTACCTGAAACGCGATAGTCTTTTTGTTTCCTTTTTGTGTGTAGTAATAAGAATTTTATCGGCTGTTTGGCTTTTATTCCAATAGATTTTTCTCTTCTCTGTCGTCTGATTATTTCAGCAGAATCCTTCGTCACAAAGTAACTTATACATTCAAATTTCGCGAAATTAAATTGTTGTTTGATCGAAAGCAATAAATTGGTGATATGTATTCGTTCATTATCCTGAAAATTGAAAATATGAATATTGGTTTCAGATTGAAAAACTAACGAATATCTTACAATGTCATATTTATTTCATTATTTTGCACATATCGTATATTTCACGTGGTTAACATAGTCTGGAAAATCTTACATTAACAAATTAATAAACTTCAACAATTATGACTTAATATTCATAAAATTCAAACTGAAACAAAACATAACATTCGTTTGTCTTATTATTTATGAAAAATATGGTTCAGTAATGTCCTTTTTTTCATAAACTAATCATAAATAATTTATTGTTCGACCGTCGAACTCAATATCAATAAACGCTTATTTATACCATACGATTGTAACCTATATTTTTTATCTCTACTCGATTAAACTACTTTAATTCAATCTCGCAATTCATTTCGATACAATTATACTGACCTTTGTACAGGTTCTTCACAGTCATTCTTAATCTTAAAGACGTTTCAAGAGTTTGCTATAATCATTAGATATTCCAAACACTGATTATAACTTTTGAAATTCAACTTCAATTTCCGTTTACGTGACTTAGCCGTAGTTATTTAATTTTATTAAAAAACTTATTTTCGATGCACCACTTACAGTATCAAACGAATTATCAACACTATTAACATGTTCTTTTTTTTTCTCTCTTCATTAATTTACACTCACAGAATGTATATAATTATAGCGCTCATAAAAATCTAATGGAATAGAATATGAAACAGTTTTTTCGTAACAATGAAGTGTTCCTCGCACTTAATCTCAACAAACACGCTTGTTCTTATTAATTTTTACAGTTGACACACACTGTTTTTGACGTCTAAATCGTTATGCATTTATATATAATTTACGTCATAAGTTACGATGTCATATTATATGCTTGTTAGAATCGAATATCGTGTATATATAATACGAGTGAACCAATGTAAAAATAAACGATCAACGCGACTATTTATTTATTTTTATCGCCATTTACACACTTTCACAAGCTCAAAGATTGATATCATATCATATCATATATATATACGAGTATATATAGGATAAAACATTCATACTGATAATCCAATAAATTGGCTGTGCATTAACGCAAGAACTGATAAATTTTATTGCCTTACGAGAAAATATATATAATAGTGCCATTAATCAACATTCTGGCACTAATTTACTCGTAAAAAAAGAAAGGGAAACTTCAACATCCACGCTTTCCTCATATGGCAGCTTTCACGTCCGAATAAACTATAATAAATACGAGTATACTAAAAACATCAACAAGTTACTTTTCGCATCGGCCATAAAACCTTGGGCGTGATAAATATTTACGGGTCAGCCATAAAGTCGTTCCCCCCTACAAGTACACATATGCACGCACTTACTTGTAAATCAACCGACGAATAAATAAGGATTCACGCATCGTTAAATTGGCCTCCTGTAAGCCTATAAGTGCATTAATTAAAACGACGCTATGATTTAACGCTTGTTGACGCGACATGCCGGTAAAAAGTGTAACAGCAAAGTTTTTCTTCTCTTGGTGTATCGAATTAATCACCTCTCTGGGAGCTGTGCTGTCCAGCAAAGTTTTCGGTTGGAGAGTCAATAGCAAACTTACAGCGCTTTTTTAAATTTTTTTAGTATTCTTTTTTTCTCTTCTCTTGCCTTCATCCTTCTTCGTGATCATCAGTGCACCAATCAGAAAAAAGAAAGCTAATGCGGCACTGAGTGATAAGGGGAGCGATCGGCTGGTTTTTTTCGAAATGTAGCCGAAGATTGACGTAGAGAGACGGAGATTTTCTTTCCGAAACATCGTTTACAATTTTGTTTAACCGTTTCAATTAGGACATTTGTAACGAGCGAATATTCTTTATATATTTTCTCGTAGTGGATGCATGTTAGGCAATAGGAAATAAAGTTGGTATAATCCGGTCAACTTTAGGATATTTATTGAAAAACGATTTGCATGAGAAAACAAAATTGTATCCAGGTGAAAATCAACGAGTGCGTATCTTGAGGGTTGATTTCATTATCGAAGTATTTGAAAAGTAATCCGTTTTTTTTTATTGATCCAAAGAGATTTCCATTAATTATTGTTGGATTGCTAGGCCATTATTGCGCGACAAATAAAAGACTAATGGAAAATAAAAGCACCGATTCAATCGTAATAATTGCAAAGCTGCACGCTTCAACAATTAAAAGAAATTCTCATCTACGATGAAGGACAGTGGACTGAATTAAAAAGAAAAACAAAGGCGAGACACACGCAGCTATAGCTTCAGTGTTGCTCCCGAGTTCTCTCACGTGAAAATTTTGCGTCCGCGCAAGGCTGGCTGTCAATTTGCCGTGCGCGAAAGCGATGTTAATCTGTCGCGTCGCGCGGCACATGCGCCTCTGTCTCTTTTTCTTTTGCGAGGCGAGTGTAAAGCCACTCGCTTCGCGCACAATAATAGCACTTCACTCTTTTTTTCAGTACTCGAGTATGGGCTTTTCTTTTTCGTTGAGTGTTGCGAGTCGGAAAAGCAGGAAAATAATATAATAGAAGTTTGTTATTATATTCGACGAGTTTGTGGTAAGTTGTTCAAATTAAGAACACATTGGCGATGAAGTAGGATCCGACTTAGATATGAAATGAATGATCTGTCCTATGCCGAAACTCAACGAAGCAAATAACATCACCGTTGCAATATCAGTGCACGGATTGTTGAATATTTATCGATGAGTCACATAAAATATGAAAAATCGAATCAGCAGTAAACAAGGAAAAGACACGGAAGTCCCAAAACGCGCGAGTGTAATCAATAGTTTCAAATGTAACTCGGGTGGGTTGGCGCACGCGGCGTTTTCGAGAGTAGCGAAGAGACATAGGGTCAGAGTAAAGTCGGTCTGCCGCAGCTGCACAAGCTGTCGAGTTATTTGTTTGCGGGATATCGTGTGAGCTCGTTATTTGTATGTGTGCAATACTTTCTTTGGTTGGAGACAATCGCAGCACAGACAGGAGAGGGAGGGTGAGAGAAGCTATACGTGTGTGAACTTCATGAGATTCGAGACAATAAACCTGTCTCGGTTTGTCTTGCTCAAGGATAATACATTCTTCTTAAATCTCTAAGACAGATATTTTATACAGATTTTATCGATTCCATTGTGTTTAATTGGGTTTCTCTCGAAGAATAATTGTTTAAAACAGCAGATCGAGTCGCCACATTGATTGAAATTGATCACTTAATACTTATTACAATACAACTTATGCAACTAGGTGATTTACAAGAAGACGCAGTGGCGTTGCTTTAGACAATTATTTTTCAGCGGACGATAATCGTTAATGGTTATATATAATATGGGGATTTGAAAAAATTACTTGTATGTATTATATGATACATTGCGTCTGGCCCCTTCCTTACCGACACTTACGTTTCTGAAAATTGGTTCGAACAATTGTTATCTTTCCCATAATTATGCATTGAAAACTACATACGAGGTAAAGAAGGAGGACAATTGTTCGATAATTATCAGTAAGTAGAAGACGTGAAATTGGAAAATGAACAACAGTATACATATCGATCACTTAAAGAAATCATTTCGTTTGTATATTAGTGTAGGTTAGTAATACTCAAATATGGAAGACGTCAATTACGAACACGTCAGTAAGCTCATTTGCGAGAAGGAAACTGTGAAGTACATTATAAACAATCAATTTCACATCTTCCCAACAATTTAGTTACCGACAAGGCGATCATTCAATGAAAAATCACGCGTTTACTCCGTCTAACAATCAATCATCAAATACCAATCATGCGCCGACAAAAGCAATGTCGGTAACCAAATTTAACTATCGTCGATGAAACAGAACCTCAATTTGCAATCACTTCACGTTCAATAAATTAGTGCGTCTCTGAATGAGAACTCTGTTCACTTAACTGCCCGCATAAACGTAAATCCGTTGCACAACTAATTTCAGCGCGGTGCTCAGAGTCAAGAGCGCCGAGCAAGCGATGACCGACGGTGAGCTTGCGACACTGTGCTGCATTGCCGCTGGATTGTCACCGTTGAAAATGTGTACGGTGACGCGGGCTGGTGTTGCGTTGCTTGCCTCGCACGTGTAGTTGCCGGAATGACGTCCTGAAGCCCGCGGTACTTCTAGCCATGACTCTCGTGACGTCAAATCCGTACTTACGTTTACGCCGCGATCAACGTCATAGTTGATCATGCGTCGGTTATGGTACCAAAAAAGAAAGGATGGCGTTTCCGTTGATTGCTTTACCAGACAATGTAGTTGTAATGTGCTACCTGGTCGCACAAACTTCTCGCTTGGACCAACTATTTCTGCCCGTGCCTCTGAAATCATAAGTTTTAATTAGGATTAGAACCAAAGATTTTCGAAAATCAATGAATTATTTATGTGGCGTTTAAAACAAAAGAATTTTCTTCGCGGTATTCAATTAGTTCCCGCCAACCCACATTTGATACTGTCAAAAGAGATCCTTCAAAAGAATGTAATAATTTAATAAGATATTTGAACACTTTATGTCATGCAAAACTCTATTTTCATTTGCTTCTTTAACGGAAATAATGTGAAAACCAACCCCATGTTTTTTTGAATTGTTGACGTTTCCTTAAAACGAATTTCACGATTTTTACAGTGACATAGAAATCCAATTCTCACAAATGCAACGAACAGTAAACTCGACCATTTCATTTGTCCAAAAGAGACTAAAAAAAATAGAAAAGAGGCTATTATTCCTTGCAAAGAGCGCTCGAATGACACTGGTCAGTTGTCATATGAAATTTCATGCGATCAGAAAGATGATCGGATAAAAAACCATTTGTTTCCATATACAAATCCTCGAAGTTTAACGCGGTAACAAAACAAAGATTTAAGGTGAACCCACGACGAAAATAAAAGTGCTTTAATCCTTATTATTTTATCCGCACGTATATATCCGGCTTTGCGAAGAAGCTGTTTTATTGGCTGCGAGACGTACGAGGTGGCGCAGCCCGAAGAGTTTAGAACGACGACGCCAAGAAAAAAAAAAGAAAAGAGAGAAAGCGGATATTCGACCTTTTTTTATCGAAGAGCTTTCGCCTCAAGCTCGATTCATGAATAATGGAGCGATCTAGCTTTTCCTCGTGTACTATACTACGCAACAGCAGCAGCATCAGCAGTAGAGGCGCTGAAGTGCGTCGCGCATTTTCAGAAATTAAATAAGATTGAAAACTCGCAATGCAACGCATTCGGTTATATTTTCATTTGTCGGCCTATTTTATTTTTTGTATTTAGCGTATTCCATTCCCACTTTCAGAAGGAAAATACAAATCGAGTTCCGAGCTGTTTCGCGAATTTCGCGCTACGCAAACATACATATTATTTTCATGCTGCTTCTCTTGGATGTGAAAAAATAGTCAACCCTACCACTAATCTGGTAAGCTGCCGACTATCAACATCCAAATTTGCTTTATAATAGCAGCTTCGTATCGCAACTTTTAACTTATATTGGCGGAAGAAATTGCCTTTAAAATTAAAAAACGCTATCACAAACGAAAGGATATGTTGACTTTTAGTGTTGAAAAATGTAAAAAAATTATCGAATACTGTGAAATAGTCATACAACTTTCAAAGTTTTCCCTCGTAAGTGCAGCACGTAATTAACCGAAACCCACCTCAGATGTACATTTCTATCTATATAACAAGGACATAAGAAAGACAAATGAATAATTCAAAGAGCTGTTCTAGTCGGCTGTGATTAGTCAGGGAATAAGATTAATACACTTAGCAAGGAAATCCAAACGCAGAGAGCAAAGATACGTCGCAAGTTTGAGAACGTTGGCTTCAAGGCAAACACGGCAAGCGTTACCTGCAGTGCTGTGTCTTAACTTAAACTCGATCTTGCATCTCTCGGTCGTTTTCGTGTAAAAGATAGAGTTCGGAAACAAGTAGCGCGTGTGAAAAGATCCGGAAGAGGCAATATCGCGGCAACAGATAACGTTTCGAAACATCAAGTCTCCGCGAGCGAGGGCAAGGAAGTCATTTGCGGCTCGCATGGCTGAAACTTTGCCAGTTTATGCGGTTGTCGCTTTGGACAATTGGCTTTTGTCCCCCACCGCCCCCTCCCCATTTCTCTCTCTAAGACACTTGAGGGACAATCGGCTATTGTCGTTTCTGCATTCATCAGATTACTCTTTTTATACGAGAGAACGAGTAGTTTTCATGGAACGACGTTTTTGGTATCTTGATTGATAGACCGCTCGTAACGAATATCGCGAAATTGAGTTGCTCGTATCCTTCGGCTATCTGCGCCTCTATATTTTTTTTCCAACGAAAAAATAAAGACATTGGATTTTCAATTAAAGCATGCCAACAAAAAGTTGTGCCGCGTCTTTGTGCAGTGAATAATGAGAAATTTATATAGAGATTTGCACAGCTTCCGATTCAGCAGCATTCGGAATGCCATTAGCGAATAATTTGAATGGGGTGAGTGAGAAAGAGAAAGACTAATTCTTTTCCCGGCCGCAGTAGTCTATCATTAATTAAACGGGAATTCACTTCTAATTAGCTCCAATAGCATTTGCCAACTTTGGAAATTACTCAAGAGAAATTCCATTAATCCGCATTGCAAAGAATCAATCCTTAATTAAGCAAGAAACAAACTTGCAAGAGGAGGCGAGGAAGAGTCGTATCGGAAAGTTTTCTTCAAAATAAACTCGCATCGGGGAAAAGATTGGTCGAGGCGTAAATGTAAATTGGCATTTGCAATTCGATGAGTATGCGCACGAATGTTCTTCCTTCTCGTCGCGCATTGCATTGCTTTGATCAGCAATGATGATTTCAGCATGTTATCTACGTTACAAAAAACTGAGAGAATGTGCAGCTGAAATTGCGACGAGCTTCTAAACCTAATTTCTACGTATCTTTTGGCTACGAGTTATCTGTTTGAAGATGTACGTCGATCGTATTTTGCAAGAAATTGAGTTCGAATTCGTTCGATTCAATTTTGTCACTTCGCATTGGAAATTATTAAACGATATCTAAAACCTATGTTTGACTTGTAGCTTCGACTGTCCGTCGGAGTCAGTCAAATATATATGACTTGTCACCATCCGTCCATTCAAAGTCAAACATCAAACTCAACATTTTCACTTCTTTATCCCATTTGCGATTTCGCTTAGCTCCTTCTCGTGCAGTTCTTGTGGATGGTATTACATTCTCCTCGCAGCTCAACAGAACTTTTTTATCTCTCCTGTACCAATATGACATAGATGTATAAGCTTTTAAGGTTCAATATCTCTTATTCAGAAGAAAAATCCGTGCTATACTTTCTTCGTAAACGACCTTTTTCTTACGTTTAATCGTACGAACTAGGAAATTCAATTAATTTTCTATTATTTATTACATTAGAAACACTCTTCTTTTCAAAATACGAATAAATCATTTTTACTCGAGAACTTGTTAAAAAACTCGTGGCTGTTGGAAAAAATTTACTCGAGAAACCGTAAGTTACAAAACTGATTTCACATCAAATCGATAAGAAGCTCTAACAGTTATTTCTTACTTTTTTTTTACGCGAGAAAAACTTAACTTTGAGCATGTTTAAGTGACAGAGAGAGAAAGAGAGAGAGAGAGAGAGAGAGAGAGGAAGAAAGAGAGTAGCATTCAATAATGTAGTAGTTTTCCTGAAAAGTTAAAATAAAATTTCGCCAATGTACTCTCTACAAGCTCTCGTGAATTTAACTTCAGCCTAATAAAGAACTCTCTTTGATCATCATGACGAAACGAAAAATGTATAATCTATAAGGTATATGAAGAAAAAAGCAGCATAATATAAGTAAATTGCCGTAAAGAAACTCCGGTATTCTACTGCAACTTGCAAGGTCCTGAAATTACGTTCGCTCGAAGTCCAAGAGGAGGAAAAAAAGACCAAGAAGCATCGAAGCAATAAGCCAGAGAAAAAGAAGCGAACGTTCGTTTCAATCAGTACCTCATCCACAAGAGTGTAAAATGTCCTATCAAGAACGAAATTAAAATAAGTTACGTTTTAATTCTTTTTTTCCACTGAATCTAGGTAAAAAATATATATCGCAACGTAAGGTCAGATACAACGACGTCGACGCCCCACTTCCGTAGCAGCAGTGAGAATGGAAAGTCGCGTCTTGATATTACTTATTCTCTTCGCACCCTGTACTTTTCCCCGCCTTAACCTACTTGGCGAGTGCGCATTTTTTCGACTCCTCCTTTGTCTCGTCGTGCCGACAAACACGGAATAGGATAAGTTCCGACACTACCCGAACTTTTCTTTCTTCCTCTCGAGCACAATTTTTATTATTATTTATTTTTTTTGTTCTTCTCATACTTCGTTATGTTCAATGCAAAGATTTTTTGCGCGCGCGTGATCTGTTTAAAGGTAGAGGAAGGAAGATCAAACAAAGGCTACATTAAAAACTTTTTCCTTCGACAGTGCAGACTACGCTATTTGCATTGGTAGATCGAGTCGATGTCGTTGAGATGTACGGATTGCATCGGAAAATGGAATACTTTTCAACTGCCTGTGCGAAATATCCTTGAGATTTTGTGCTATTGATATTGACTGCGTAGCGTAATGAATTCAGTAGAGCGAATCGAGTATGATCAGCCTTTAAATCTCTCATAGCTAGATAACACAAAAAAGCTCTGTTCAGGGTGTGAGAAAGAAAGTTTTTGCGAAATTAAAATTTTTCTATTGCTTAATAAAAGGTCACGTTTTTATGTAAATACAGGTCACGTAAAACATGAAAAAGTTAACGCGATGAAGTAGACAAATTTATTTCATTATTTATACGCTCTTCCTTTTCAAGATTTTTTTCTAGATAGTTTATATAACTTTCATTGAAAACTTTTCTCTTTTTGTACTGGTAATTTAAAATTTGCTAACTTTTTTCATTTGTCAACTATGTCGACAACACATTGTTAAAATATATATTTTCTTTTAGTCTTGAAGACGTATTTTAAAATGTCAAGTTTCTTATTAAATAGATTAATTTCAAAAATTGTTTATTTAGACAAATCAATTTGTTATTCTTTTTATCGATGTACTTTGTTGTACTATTTGCGTAAATTACATTATTGGATAAGAAAATTGGAACTAGAGCTCTAAAAGCAGTTTTTAAATTATATGAACCGTACAATAATATATTTAAATATTATTATATTTAAATAATAATATAAATAATAGTACATATAATTTAAATAATAATATATAAAGCGTGCAAGTGGTTTTAAGACAAACTATAAATTTTGGTATTTAAATCATCTCTAATTGCACATTAAGAGAGGCACCTTATCGCAAATTATTGCCATTTGTAAA